AAAAAAGCTAGTTTCAGGATTTTACCTCCTTTGCAATCGAGCCGAAGGCCTGAATATATTGCTCGGCAATTCTTAAACTTGCTGCCTGAAAATCCAAGAAACGTCAGTTTTTTCCGACACTTGCAAATATATTCTGAACTAAGTGTAAATTTCTGCTATCTTTCCCAAAATTAATCCACGAGCCCCTTTTGAAAGGCAACTGATGGCAAACCCTTATCTACATTTTCCTCTTGTTGGAAATAGAGATGTATCGAAATTTTGGAAATAGGAATGAATACCAACTCGAGAGAAATGAAATGCACAGCGAGTTCAGATCAAATTTGTAGATCAGGAGTGAAAAAGAAAATTCACCTCCACGCCTCCACTTGCTTCGAGTGCTTTTGACACCATAGTAATTCCTTTGGCAGTAGCTTGTGCTCTAGCAAGGATGGCTTCTGCTTCTCCTGTTGCAGAAGACATTCAAAGAAACAGCACAAATATTAAATTCATTTTTCAAAAGTGGACGACAAAGAAAGATAGAAATAACCAAGAAATCCCAGCACTTTTGCTCAATCCAGGATGTGTGATGTATATAGGCCAAATAGTTTCACACGCTAAATTATTCATGGATAAATTTTGTGTTCAAACGGTCAATAATTCAAATTTAGCTTATTACCCAGTTCAACTTTTGGGTAAATCAAACATTACACTATTAATAATCAATTCAAACATGATAACCGACCTAGAGCTCTGTTGACCTGGTCTTCCTTTGAGGCTTCTGATGCAAGGATCACAGCGTTTTTCTTTCCGTCAGCAATATTAATATTTGCCTGCCTTTCTCCTGCATATGGACACCCATTAGTCTAATAAATAAATAAGCAGAAATCCCACTGGGTTCTCATTAGATCAATCCTAAGAAACATATACATTCATGGCCAGCGGCTGATATACTACTTTATTCTGCCATTATACAGAAAGTCCATCCAATCCTTATATCCACAATGGTAACTCCGTGGACATATTAAAAGGTGGTAAGCTAGTTGCATGTAAATTGATCTACTACCATAGTAATGTCCAGAATGGACAGAAAACTGATTGCATAATAGGGAGAATGCAAACATCAGTTAGTCTAGGGATCCTCCCAATTCACTGCAGTAGAGACATGCTTAAAAGTCTGGTGTGCATTACCATTTTTATAAGAGTTCCGTTTAAAACTTAAGGTGGAAATTAGAAGGAAAAAGAAAATGTTACAAGTAATTTTCCAGGTCATGGCAGTGACGACGTGCATATTCTAGATAACGCAATTCATTTTCCTTAATCACTACATCACAGGTTTTTTTCTTAAAAAAGATAAAACAAGAAATGGCTTTCATCCTTCGCATAACTTACATCCTCCATCCGCCTTACATAGTTTTTAATCAAAACCCAAACACCAAGCATCCATGGCCATACTAACACTACTGCAAAAGTGCAAGAGCCAAACCAAATACCTTCAGATTCCAAAACTTGAGCCCTCTTTTTGCGCTCTGCTTCTGCTTGCATCTCCATTGCAGCCCTCACTCCTCTTGGAGGAGATATATCCCCTAATTCCGAGATGAGATTTGTAGGATAAATAAGATACACCAGAAAATGCTGAGAATTGTAAAACCAGACGGAAAACTATTGATTTCATAAAAATTACCCACTTATTTCATAACGTAGGCATCGTAAACCCCAGTCTTTTGCTGCTTCATTAATGGCAATCTGCATCAAGGATTCAAGGTTAAAAGGTGAGTTCAAAACCTATACAATGGTGTGAGGTAACTGAATAGGCAAATATTGACCGATGCAAATTTACATATCTAAGCATAAATCAAACAATTCTACACAACAGTAACATAAATTATTTGCCAACTGACAATGGTAACATGAACAGCATACATACATTTTATTATATATGTGTGGGTGTTAATATCTATACGAGTGAAAATGTGCTCTATCCCAGAAACTAATTATTAATGCATAAAACCAGTTTCCAAGAATAATATTAATTTTATATATAAAATAGTCATCAGGCCAGATCCATATTTGCTTCGCCCACAGTAAAGGAAAACCTAACTGTCTGACCACTAAAAGCAATTGTTCTGAATGTAACTTTTGTGCTATCTATAAAGTGTTTCTGACACTTTTAAAGTTGTGCCCAGTGCCATGCCTTACTTTTCACTTCTTAATGCAGCAACGCTCGAATTAATATGGATAGAATTGCCCACTAGCAATTACCAACGAACATAATAAGCGAAATCAATACATACCACAATCTTCTCATTGAGTGTGTCCCTTTCCTCAAAAGTCTTGTCAAGAGTGATCTTACCCAGCTCACTTCTCATAGTAGTCTGCGCAAGCTGAATCACGGCATACAACGGATTCTCAACTCCATATGAAGCCAACTTTGGGTCCACTATCTGCAGATCCATGAAAAAAAAAAAAAATAAAGTTCATTTGTAGAGATTCATGCACATGAAACCCGTACTGTATAACTAAATTCCAAACGTGCCTTCACGTAGAGGACCCCGTCGATTAAAATGCTGACATTGTCCTTGGTAATAGCAGACTGGTCGGGGATTGGAATGGCTTCTTCTTTTAGTGAGTGAACATAAGCAATCCTATCGACCAAAGGAATCAGTAAGTGGATTCCAGGTGTCAATGTCTTCACATACTTCCCAAAGCGCTCAACAACAAATGCCTTCTTCTCAGGCACGATTCGGATCCCCCAGTTTATTGGGGGCGGGGTGTCATACCTTTCCAAAAAAACACTATGTTTATCATACTATTTACAAACTGAAAATGAATTCTAACATTATCAATAAATCTCCCATGAATTAGTTACGGCCCAAACTTAGCTTCTTCAACTTACACTCATTCTTCATTTTTCATGAAAATGCTTCGATAAAATTTTGGCAATCGCGAGTTCTATTAGCATGTTGCTATATGAACTTAGAACTAATGATAGGTGAACTGAAATGTAGTATAACTGTATGAAGTGGAAAATGAAATGAACCGTATTGTAAAATACCATGAGATATTAAGCCGGCCAGAAACACAAACACGGATCGACAGAAAACTCACATAAGATAAGAAACACAAAATTAATGAAACTATATACATCTATATGATAGAGTTCCAGTACAGAAATGGTGCAAAAATGTCGGGGAATGAATTTACCAGCTACTTCAGTGAATAAGACGAAAATGTATGGATATACAAAATAAATGAAGTAAAACCATTCGAGAAATACATAGTACGACACAAATCCACAAGATTGTACAAAGTCCATAGCAATACCTTGTGCTGGGGTCACGCGAGTTGCGTATGTGCCGGACTGTGGTGAAGTACGGGGAAGGCAGCTGAGATGGCGAGCTGCGAGCGGACGGCTGATTGAGCAGCGGCGGATGTGCGGTGGAGATGCTGCGAGAGGCGATCGAGGATTTCGCGGCGAGGAGGTTTCCGGCGGCCCGAAGCTTGTACAGAGAATTGGATTTGACGAAATTCATTTTCCTCTCTCTGCCTGACAATTTCTTCAACCAATTTTTGAGAGAGAAAAGAGTTGAGAGGTTCGACTTGTTGGACAAGACAGACAATTGGGGAAATTTTAATAAGTTATACGTGCTAATATTTAGCAAAAGCCCTAGTAAAACCCACGGTTTAAAATCAAAGGGACAACAAATTGCTTTAATAATTTTTCCATTTTTTTATATATAAGCTAATTATTATACAAGAAATTGTTTTTAATAATCTTTTCATTTTTTTATATATAAGCTAATTTTCATACAAAAAATGATGTTAGTGAATTTTAATTGGTTAACAATTTAATAATTGATTATCAATTTAAGTTGACAACTAATTTTGCTTGTTACAAAAATGTTTCTCTTAACCACTCGACTAACGAACTAATAGCAAAATTGTTGAAAACTCATTTACTAAATGAATTGAGCTCGGATCGACTCGTTAAGTCTTTAACTTGACTCTATTATATTGATAAACAACAGAGCTCAAATTCAATTACCGACACATTTAGTTCAGAAGCGGAGTCAAAGCTCGAGTTTGACTGGACACGTTTGCATACCTACTCTTGTAGGCAACAAGAATGGTCCATATTCATTAAAAACAGTACTCAACACTCTTTCAAGCTACCTAATACTCCAAGCAAGACAATTTACTTGGACTCAATAAGTCTTTAAATGTAACACTTTTTTTTCACATAATCACAGATGTGTTAAAGCTAGAAAATAATTTATTAAGTTGGAAAGAAAATAAATTTGTTTTTCAACATATCCATGTTTTCATTTTCATGAACGAAAGCACGATCACAGCCACAAATATGTACAAACACAGCAGAAAATTATCCAGGCCCGACTCCGAAATCAGGTTATTATTTTTCAGGCTATTATTTTTCTTGGTCCTTTTTTTTTTTAAGTATGAAGGGAGCAAAAGTGGACAATTTTATATTTTTCAGTCATGTTACTTCTTTTGTTCTTCGGCTGACAATTCACACTGATATCACAAAAATGTTAAAAGATTTGAGAAAAACTAATGTTTCGAAATTAGTTAGACAAATCATACGTAATCTAATAGTCATTGCTTTTGAATTAATAATATGTATGCTTTCATAAGTTAGTTGGGTGCATTCAATTATTCAAAATCTATCATTATATAAAAAGAATAACCTTTTTACAAATTTAGAAACTTTTTCCCGCCAAAATCATTAAATATATTCTAATATAGTAATTGTTGGACAAATCTAAATAGGCAAAAAAATCGGCTCATTTTTTTAGTTTATCACAGCTGCTCCTTGACAATAAATATTTGTTTTTCTTTTTCCTATTTTTAGTATAAATCTACACTCTTCTGTTACAAAATCCCATTGCATACGATCTCACGTGTTTAATAAATCTCATCCCTTATCTATACAGATTTAAAAAAATAAAATAAAATAGAAACAAATTCATAATTACTACTAGAAATTCATTATTTTTAAAAAGAAAAAATAAAATAAAATAGAAATCAATTCATAATTACTACTGCAAATCCATTATCTACTTTAAGAAGCTAATTTTCATCGGTCTAATTACTAATATTTTTACAAATATTATAAGCTAACCATACAAAAAAGTATAATAATAATTTTGAAATGGTGTGTAATCAAATTTTTTTATATTTTCTTATACAAAATAATTTTACATTGTTTGACCCCGAATCTTTAATTTATAAGTATTAAGTATTGTTTATCCTCCTCTTTAATTTATAATTATTCTTTTTGCTTCCTCTTTTTAAATAGGAACAATAGTAGTTTCCACTTCCGTTATTGAGTGACTCAAACTCGAGGTCTATTTATAATATTATTAATTTAATATTGTTTCCGTGCATCGCACGGGGTATACACTAGTTCAAATAAAATAAGCTGAATTGTAAACTTAACAGGTTCATTAAAATAATAACTAGGTCAAAAAGAGAACATCCGGCATAAAATGAGAACCCAAGGAAAAAAAAAAGAGCTCAACAAAAGACAGATTCCTATAGCTTTATAACAATCTCATTCCTCCTCTGCAATGGCTCCCTTTTCACTAACATAGATACCATCAAGGAACTTCCTAATATCTTTGTTCTTCACATGGCATTTCTGCACAAATATACATTATAACATATGACTTATGAGAATGGGCCTTCACGTGCTTTCGAAACGATAAAATAAAGATGAAAAGTAAAATAACTAGCGAGATACAAAAAAGGAAAACAACACACAATTGGAATAGACGAGCTATGGGTACAACATAAAACTTCATGACACAACACGACAGAAATGCAGAGCATAAAAAGTTTGGTTAAATTTACATTGAAGTATCAAACTTATGATCAAATGGGCACGACACAAAACTGCATGACACGTACAAAGTTCGGTTAAATTCAGATTTGACTAATACTTGCGAGCAACCAAAATGAATAACATGGAAACAAGATAGTGAAACACGAACACAACACATTGGCACAATTTGCCACCCCTAAGATGAAAGATAGGTAAATGCTTATGGATATGACGTGCAAGTGAAGGTGTACAAAAAAGATTGGTGTTGATGGTTAAATTCCTCCATTGGAACCAAAATTGAAATATTTTTAGTTACGTACTCGCGCATAACATTTTTATGCAACATTTAAGGATATCAGAAGAATCATATAGATATAAAAGATCTCAATATTTACCTGATTTATCAAGGCAGCTGACCTAGAAACGAGCTCGATATCGTTACCATCCAAAACTAATTCATCCTTCACCTTTTCAGATCGCACAACCGAAACCCCTTCAAGCATATCCACCTTTCTCACCTGGAATAACATTTTTCTGTAAGCTACTGTTATCCAATAACCAATTACATACTCAGCTCTAGCTAAACTATATTTACATGCATTTTTTAAAAATTCCATAAATAGTACAATTATAAATAAATAAATTAGTAGAGAGACACTGCCAATGAACTATTGCAAAAATGAATGCGTAACCCTAAATAATCAGAGAAGCCTATCTTTCATAACACAAAAATGGAGAAGAATTCACAGTGAAAACTTCACCCAGCAAATTATAGCCGTTTTTAAACTAAATATCCCCAAAACTAATAATAAAACCACACAAATGCAAAAACAGGTAAAGCAATTTACAGCTTAGAGCCACTCCAGCGCTGCGCCAGATATGGTGTTTTGCGCTGGAGTTGTGATGATTTTTGCTCCAGTGCAGCGCTGGAATTCTACGCCACATGAGAGTCTGGAACAGTGTTGCGCCACATCTGGCGCAACACTGTTCCACGACTCTACAATTTTATTTTTTTTTTTTGTTTTTTTTTTGTTTTTTTGTGTATTATTATTGGTAAATTTTTGTATAATGTGTATTAGTAAATGTATTTTTTATGCTAAATAATTGTGTAATGTATTTTTTATGCTAAATAATTTTGTGTTTTTTATTTATTGATGTATTATAATTTTATTTTATAATTTTTTAATATTAAAATGATACTATATGAATAAAAATTTAACACACTCAAATAAGTTTATTTCATTAAAATTAAGTTTACAACACACATAAAATCATAGAACATAAATAAAAACAACATGATTAAAAATGAATATATACTCTAAACCATATATGGTCTAGTGTGTAAATTACAATCATTCTTTAAATGTGAATATATACTCTAGACCATATATGGTCTAGTGTGTAAATTTCCACATAATTTTTTTTATTACTATTTAGGTAATAAACATTTATATAATATTACATATTCATATATATAGCAAATTATTCGAAATAAAATTAAATAAAATACATTTTTATTATTTGAGTAATTAACATTTTATATAAGATTAAATATACATATATACCAATTTATTTGAAATATAAAATGAATAAGAAAATAATATATTTAATGTAGAGTAAAATGTAGAGATAAGGGCTGGAGATGAATGTTCAACTCTACTCTAGAGTAGAGTAAAGTCCGCACTAGAGTAGAGATAAGGGCTGGAGATGGCCTTAGTTGTTCAACTCTACTCTAGAGTAGAGTAAAGTCCGCGCTAGAGTAGAGATAAGGGCTGGAGATGGCCTTAGTACAAAGTCCGCGCTAGAATAAGGGCTGGAGATGGCCTTAGTACAAGGAGCTAAAAAATTCTCATACCTTCTTCTCGCCAAGGAAGTTACGGATCTCAATAGCCTTTCCACCGTTGGTGATGGAGGCGTTGATCGGAAAGTGAGCGTACACGAAACGCATCTTGTAGCGGTAGCCCTTCGTGACGCCGTTGATCAGGTTGGTGACGTGGCTGAGCGCCGTGCGGATAGCTGCGGTGGTTTTCCGGCTGCTGAACCAGGCGTCTACCTTCAGCTTCTTCTTCCCCGTGGCCTCGTCGGTGATGAGCTGGAAATCGAGGTTCAGGTGCTTGAAATTGCGCGCGAGCTTGCCCCTGGGACCCTCGACCACGATCATCTTCGCATTCACCTTGATCTTCACGCCGTCGGGGATATCCATGGTGTCGGAGGAGAGAATCGCCTTCATTTTCGTTGCCGGTGGTCTTTTGCTCCGGTGGTGCCTGTGAGAGGGGAAAAAGAGCTGCTACTTAACACACTTATTATGAGCAGAGTGTAAAGGGGCAAAGCCCTAGTTTATTATTAGCCTATTTTAAATTGGGCCTGTTTTGGGTTTAATTTTTATTGGACTACTTTTATAAACCGTAATATAGCATATGAGATCTGGGGTCCCAGTAGGCCCACAAGGTATTGTCCAAATTGCCACCTAGATGATCCACCACCCATGGACAAACGCTATCAACATTAAAAATGATGTGCACCATAAATGTGTACTTAGGGCTTGATTGTTTATGAAATAATTTGTTCAAAATGAGTTATTTTGGTTAATTATAGTTAATTTTGAAAAAATTGTTTAGTTAGTTGTTAGTGGAATTTTAAGAATGAATTAAAATAATATCTAAAATAAAATAATTAAAATTGATTTGATATAAAAGTAGAAGATAAATGATTGTAAACGATAGGTAGTTAAAATTATGTGAGTGGATGAATAGTGAATTAAAGTTGATGTGATATGTAAAAATGATTGGTTTGTATTATCTAATTATATAAATAATATTAAAGATAGTGAGGTTGAGTTAATGTTAAGGTTGTGTTATAAATTTATAGTAAGACTGTTTTACAAGTAGTATAAACAAGGAAAATTTTCAGTTATCCTACGTGATATAAAAAATATTACACATATACCATCCAAATATAAATAATTGTGTATGTACCTAACAGATGACATTTAATTGAAGTAATGCCTAAAATCTGTTACTTCTCTTTCGCGTGATTCCTGTTCGTTCTACAAAAA